TATTGTTATAATGGCCTCAAGCGGCGGGGGATCATCCAATACCTCCGTGAAAGTCGGTGAGTTATCAAAGACATCAGATGTCGCAAAATAAAGACACAAATCCTTTGTAGTTTAGAAAATAAATTATAACCTTCTTTGAAGAGCTCTCGAACGATATTGTATGCCGCATATCAATCTATCAATCTTTCTTTATATCTTGAACTTGTGGTCCAGGCTTTCACGAAAAGCTTGCCATGTCGTCCTACATTATCCTTAAAACTCACTAACTGAGCCAGCAATTCAAACAAATTTTAAACAGCACTTCGGATTAAACCGCTCACGGAGGAAGATGTAGCAAAGCTCCCATCAAGATTTCAACGTCAGGTTATAACAACCTCACCATTCGCGTCAAATCAGATCATTGTTGAAGCCGAGAAACATCCAGTCTTTCAGTTCGATTTCGTATTCGGACCTGAATCCACGCAACAAGAAATATATGATAATATCGCTGTTGAAAGTTTAATAGAAAATTTTCTAGAGGGTGAGTTACTAAAATCTTGCATAGTCACGTGACCAACAGGCTCCTAACAAATTGCTCGCTCGTGAACTAGGATTTAATGTCACAATCCTGGCGTATGGTCAGACCTCGTCAGGAAAGACATTTACCATGGGCACTGCAGATAACGATCTAATTCCATCCAACCAAAAGGGAATAATTCCAAGAGCAATGTCCACATTGTTTTCTCTAATGAATACCAAGAAATATCATTCCCAAAAATTCACGATGAATGTTTCATTCATTGAAATATATAATGAAGATTTAATTGACCTCCTTGGAGAAGGAGTGGGCGATTCCAGGCCACATGTCACAATCCGTGAGGACTCAAGAGGGAATATTTATTGGAATGGATTGCAAGAAATGAGAGTTAATAGCGTGGAAGAAGTAATGGGGTACGTTTTATATGGTTTTGCTTATTAATTTATATCCTGCTTCTCCATGATCTAAAGTTGTGCAAAATATCATCGCCTTACAGGTATCTAATAAAAGGCTCGCAAAACCGACAAGTTGGTGCCACCGATATGAACTCCCAGTCCTCGAGGTCACATGCGATTTTCTCGGTGACGATGTCACATCAGAAATTTGTTAACGGAGGGGCATCGTCTCCACCCCCTTCGAGATCCCAAAGTCAGATAAGTAGTCCTCCCTCGAGAGTATGTTTCTCACCGGAAAATTGTGGCGAAGGAGAATGGACCACAGTATCAAGTAAATTTCATTTCGTAGATTTGGCCGGTAGTGAGAGGGTAGGTGATCACGTGATTCTGTTGTTTTGAAATGCTACCGTGTTTCCTAATTTACCCAATTTAAATAGTTAAAACGCACTGCCGCTAGCGGGGACAGAGCAAAGGAAGGAATATCTATTAATTCGGGCCTGCTTGCACTGGGTAATGTCATTTCCATTTTGGGAGATCCGAACAAGACGAAACACAAAACACACATTCCCTATCGAGACTCAAAACTCACCCGACTATTGCAAGATTCCCTCGGAGGAAATGCAAAGACATTGATGATAGCCTGCGTTTCCCCTGTCGAACTCAATTTGAGTGAAACTCTTAACACACTCAAGTATGCGCAAAGAGCCCGTAACATAAAAAATTCGGCCACAGTAAACCAAGAGGAAACATCGTGGAATGACGTTGGACATCTACAGAATCTAGTGCTAAAACTTCGAGGAGAGGTGTCGTCGTTGAAGGTAGCCCTCGCTGCGTCCGAAGCAAGTACCGCAGGTAACAATGTAGGGGATAACAAGTCCAATGATAAAACCTCTCCACCCGCTACCAATGGAACGGTGCCATCTGCGGTTAATGTACAAACAACGCAAAGTTTACTGAGACCCCCGACGTCCGGAACAAAAATCCCAGGATCAGGAATTTCGGGAAGAAAGACCCCAACTCCCACGGCTTCCGGAATTCCGGGAAGAAAGACTCCAACTCCTACGGCTTCCGGAATTCCGGGAAGAAATACCCCAACTCTCGCAGCTTCCGGAAAGCCTGCACCATCCCTTGCACTCACCAGAAGTGTCTCGACATCGGGTATACCCGGAAAGGTTACACCAACTTCAGGAATTCCGGGCAGAACCACTCCGACATTAGGTTCGGGGCGAGAGGCGACAAGCATGTTAAGACGCTCGTCGAATAACATCAGTTTCGATGAGACACAAGAGACCCGAGATCACCTGGAAACCATAGAACATCAATTCTTGCAACTTCAGAAATCCTACGCAGAACTTTCGGCGAAATACGGAAAAGTGTCGGCAGAACTCGCGAAGCATCAGGATAATAACGAAAATACAGAAAAAAACTTCATATCGTTGGCCGAGCCGATTATCGAGGAATATGAGAAATCCATTTCAACACTGGAGAGCAACCTTGCCGCAACTCAGGCTGCCTTAACACACGCCGAGCTAATGTTGGAGGGGCATCAAGAGAAATTGGCGAAATCTCAAAAGACCACCAATTTATACAAGGAGATCGAAAGTAGTTTGCGAAATGAAATCGAAAAATTAAAGTCAAAATTGGAAGAACGTGAAGCTCAAGCCAAGTTGGTAGAAAAACGTGATGCGCAACTGGATGAGCTGAAGATAAAGCATCAGAGGTCACTCGATCAAATACAAGAACTCCAGTCTAAACTAATGGATGTCAATCAGCAGGTCTCTGATCTCGGCTCAAAACTGTCCAATTTACAAGACAATCATGACAAGAAGCTAGCGAATCTTGCGGATTCCGAATCGAAATATCAAGCAAGCCTTCGATTGATTCACGATCTTCAGATTCAACTCGACGAAACCCAACAGAAACATTCGAGAATGATTGAAGATTTGCACTCGACGTCTTCAACACCAATGACGCCATGGACGCCGATGTCCTCACATCCTGAATCACGAAGTGATGGATCATCGCCACCAAAGCCCGCAGAGCCTTCTGCAACATCAAGACCTCTGTTGCATCGCAAAGCAAAATCAATGTCGTCAGTCGAGATTAGAGGCGACTCATCATCACACGCAGCCATAATAGAAAAACTTCAGTTTGAACTTGAATTGTTCGAGTCTTTCCACAAAGACAAATCACAAAGCTTGGATGCGGTCAAACGAGAATTAAATAAATTGGAACAGCATCATCAGGAGACATTAGAGGTGGTTAGCGAACTTCGCGGAGAGATTGAGAGACGTGATGCGTTGGCATTGTTACAGGTTAACTCGGTGATGAATAATTTCGAGAATGGAATCCACTCTCCATCGGGTAGTCGAGTCAACGAACTGGAGATAGTCAATCGCCTCAGGAAAGATGTGGACCAATTAAAAGAGAGACAAAGACAAATAATGCAAAATATTTTTGAACGAGAGAAAGAGGACAAGCTCAAGTCTGAAGAAGCTCGGAGACTACAATTGAGTATATTCCAACTTCGAGAAGAATTGATTGTTGCGGTCGAAGAACAAAAGCACGCAAGCGACACCGAAAAAGCGTCATCGATGGTCGTTGAATTGCTATCAAAGATCAAAGAATTAGAGGAGAAACTGGCAGCAACACGAGTCGATAGCCAACTTACTCTCATCGCAGAAGACTTTTTAGTTGGCACCAGTGATCCCCGTAGCGTGGAGACGATCGAACTTCGCGAGAAAGTTGAGAAAATTCAAGCTGATATACAGGCGAAGAGTCAAACTATCGCCATCCTCCTGCTTTCAGAAGGATTGCAAGGGGTCGGGGCTTATCGCCTTACTAGTAACGATAAGATCGCAAACATGAAGGTAACCAACGAAAGTCCAATAAACACTGTCGATGGTGATTTCCTCGGGGAAATGCCCTCTGACAAGTTGGAACAAAACAATATCGACGAGAGAGTCACTGCAAAAGATACATTTGACATTATCCAACTAAAACTTTCATCTTTGCAAAAAGAGTTGAGCAACGAGTCTGACAGCAACAATATCTCGCAGGATGTTGTTGATAATAAAGAAGAATCCAAGGAAGGCTTGGTGTCACTTTTACAATCTTACTTTGAAACATTAAAATCCGATATCAAGCGAAAGAATGAGCTTATCGAAAGCTTAAAGCTTGATTTAATCGACAAAGGAATGATACAACGAAGACTCTGGGAGTGTGAGGCGGAACTTTTAGTACTTTCGCAGAGGTTTATTATAATCGAAAGACATGAGCGAGAACTGCAGAATCAAAATTCTCGAGCAGAGGGTATCGACAAATTAAAGGCATCAAGGAGCGAATACAATAATAGTATGGGAAAAGAAGTATTTATCCTTGAACGACTTCGAACCTTGGATTCCGAGGAATCAAGAATACAAAAAGATCTGGAGTGTATTATTACACAGGAATTATTGGGGTGTGATCAGTCAAATTTGGCTAGAAAATCGGAGAGTGCTGAAGAGAAGTTGGAACGATCGTCAGAAGACGAGCACAACAAGAAATCAGCTGCAGAACAGTTAAGATCTCAACTTAATGACATCAAGGAAACCAAGAAGACAATTATTCACGAGTGGGAAAGCATGGAGTCAAATTTCCGTGCTCAAGCGAAGCTTGTCATCACTCTCGAGGATGAAATACAAATGTTGATGGACGAACTAAAAATGACTAAACAAAGTCGCTCGGAGATCTTGAAAAAATCCAAAGCGCTTGAAGATCAACTGGCAAAAGTTGAAAAAGAACGTGAAGGATGTGTAAGGCGCGTTAATGATTTACAACAGACAATTGAGGGCCGCGAGGTAGAACAGAAAGATCTGGTCTCATCATTCGAGCGCAGAATATCTGACCTCGACACCCAAATTCATGACCTCAAGACGGCACTGAAGAAGACCAGCGATGCCTTAACCGAAAAAGAGCAATCATTGTCCATCAAGGACTCTCTTCTTAAAGAACTGCAATCCAGCATCCAACGAGTCGAAGATGAACTGAAGACCGTTGAATTGGCGAAGTCTGCCGAAAGCGAGCGTGCGAGAAAATTCCAATCCAACATTGTCTCTCTTGAATCGAAAATCGTGGATCTTGAGACAAAACTCCATGAGAGTCCTTCTCCTGAGGACTTGGAGGCGATGCGGCAATCAGCCGCAAAGAATCTTGCGCTCGTCAAAGAAATGGAAATAAAATTAGAGGAGACCGACGGTCAAAATGCGACCGAGAGAGCAACAATTCTTGAAACGGTTTCCAGGTTGACGATCGAACTAGAGGAAAAGAGGGTTACAGAAGACGATCGAAAACAATTGATAAAAGAATTAGAGGGAGTCTTGCACGAACGGGAGGAAAAATTGAAGGAGATCAATAAAAAGTTTGAGCAAGCGAAAGAATTGGAATATAGACAGACCGAGAAAGTTCAAGCGTTGGAAATTCAACTTCAAGATCTTCAGAGAAGTAGAGACGAGGAATTGGTAAAACTTGAAGAAGCCAATGCTGAGATGGAAAACCTTAAAGAACAGTACCTGTGTTTACAAAATGATACTAGAATTGCCGCCCAAAATTCGGAAAACCTCGAAAAAATCATGTCCAACGATCTTAGAACACAGCTCGGTCAGTGCCAAGAAATGATCGGCGAATTGAAAAGTAAAATAATTCAATTGGAGAATGAAAAGGAAAAACAATGTAAGATCAAGTCAGAAATGGAAGAGCGATACAGGAACCTTCAACAAGAACATACATTGGTAAAAGAAGATTTCGCCGAAACGGTCGGAAGGCTTGAGGAACTCGAGTTGCTCTCTCACGAACAAAAGAGAAGACTAATGGAATTGGAGACTTTACTCGAAGAGGCGATCGAGAAACAGGAAGGTTATTCCAGAGATGTGGAAGAAGAGAAGAAAGAAAAATTGAGCATAATGGCATCATTGGAAAAGTCGCTTTCAGAAAATCAAAAATTACTTGGAGAATCGGAGCAGCAACTGCAAAAGATGAAACAAGAAAACATGGAACTGGAAAGACAGGTGTCTGCCTTGAAGGTCCAATTGGATGAAATAACCGAACAGTATGAACAAGCCAAGTTATCGGTGCAGGAAGAAAAGAAAACCAATGAACAGGAGAGAAAGGCCAAGGATGTAGCATTGAATGAACTGGAAACTCAATTAAAAGCATTTCAAGTCGCCAAAAGAGGAAAATACAAATTTTTTTGTTTCTTATAATTATAGTATCATTTTATTTCTATTTATACTCTAATCATCCATCCTTTAGTGCGTGTAAATTTAGTATCATTGTATTTTTATAAATTTTGTAAAGTACTTTGTATTTGTATATACCCATTAATAATACTGTATTTTTTATTGCAATAAAATAATGATGTTCAATGTATCACATGAATGAATGGCAACGTTGCAAAACATCCCATGCTATGCAACCGATATACGAGACGTACTGTGCTTTCGCATTTCGCGTTGTTCATCTTATCCAACTTTTGTTTCCATACTTATTTTCCATTTCAATCAAGTTTTGCTCCAAACTCTCCAATTCATTTTTTCCTTCCTTTAGCTTGGCCATTGCTGACACGTAATTGCGTTTGTAGGTGCCTAACCACTCCCGCCTAATCGGACCGCGCAGGCGATTGGTTAGTCATTAGCATAAACCTAATATTCAAACTAGAAGATTACATCATACATACTTGTGTTCGAATTGAATTATCGCATTCTTGGTCGCTTGAAATAAGGCGGAATCTTGACGTTGAAACTGTCTAAATATTGTCTGTTTGGAAATAGGTCATTGATTTATTACAATATGTTCCAAGAGTTTACAACTTCCACAAAAACCTTACCTCGCCAACGAATTTTAGCAAATTCCTTATTTCTTCATCCAAATCTTCGTCTTTAGATTTACGGGTTTCCCTCTTTTTCCGAATACCATGAGGTGAAATGAAGCTATCTTCAATATCAGCGATCTCAATATTATCATCATTGCGATCTCTTTGCGCTTTGCGAGCGTTTCTTTTTTCGAGTAGTTTGTTTTTTGTCATGATTTCAACGAAATCACTAATGACAGGCGAACTTTCTCTCGAATGAAGAATATAATTTCCTTGGAAATTTGATATGTAAAACATCGTGAGTATGCGTGCAAATCCTGACCATGTTTTTAGAGCGTAAAGACACTGCACTAAACTTACCATTTGACTTTGTGTTTTCTTCTTCACTCTCCAAAGAATTTGTGGACGCGCGCAACCTTTCCATAAAAGAAACTGTTCGCATCGAAAAATTAAATGCGATCGGTTATTCGATGTGAAGATGTCCTTAATGTTGCCAATAGAAATTGCCACATTCTCTACCTTTCCCTGGGACCGAATTTTTTTCTGATGACAGGAAAAAAAATATTTCACATGGATTAAATATCTATCAAAGGTAGTGCACAATTGATATCGATGAAGTTCTTGTACTAACGATAATTGGATCTAATCCTTTGCGATATATTTGTATCCTCCTCAGAATCGACAATGGTGTTAACCTTGTTTTTCCTAGGATTCCAAAATTCTTCATCACTCGTCATCGCATTTGTATTATCGTTGGCCTTAAACAAAGCAAAGAAAATTATTGGTAATGACGCAAATAGGTAAGACAGCATCTTATTATTGTTATTATCGTTATTATTGATGTTGTTATTATTTTGTTGTACCGTAACCAATCTCTTTCGACCTTTCCGAATTGCTCGATCGTTCGCATTCTTTCTCAGATCTTGCTCGTCATCACAGAGTTCTTGATTTTTTCGTTTTTCCCTCCCATAAACGGCACCTATATAAATAAATTTATAAATAAATGTATGTTTATAGAAGTTATTTTGCGTCCAATTGACTACAAACCACCGATATTACGTGTCGCGTTCGGTTTCCTCATTTGATACTCGGCATCATGGATGACCGATTCTCGCTCACGTTCTATAATATCCATGCCGCCTGATGGGTTCAATGATTCCCTATCAGTTCGAATTCGCATTTCCCCTTTTTGTCTTCCAATATGATCATCATCACGTCCTTTCTGCATATTGTTTGTGGTCGTACCTCTAAATTCTTTATTTTCAGTCAGAAATTGCATACTTAAATTAGTGTTGCTTTTTTCTAATGTCAAGCTCTTTGATGTTACACTAAACAAACCCCTTTTCTCGACGAAGACATTGTCGGGGTTATCATTGATCCTTGAGGCGGAAAGATTCAAGGGTTCCGTTCGCTGCTTTTGCGGAGGATGGGTGTGTCGACGATTGGTGTCGTAATTAATTTGAGTTATCGACTCGTGATTTACAACCGTCTCGTCGGAATCACCGTTTAACAATATGGACGCCGGTCCGGTTTTATTGTGCCCGTAATCTCGTATTCTTTCGGGAGAATTGCCGGCATTGCGCCTTTTCGATGACACGAATTTATTCCTTGTAGAAACAGGTGTAATCTCTTTATCCAAATCTATTATGTCGATTTGCCCATTGTCCTGCTTGCTCGCACGAACCCCAGAAGCTTTCGCAAACTTTGAAGGATCACCGGTAATGGGATTTTTATATGCCGAGGGAAAACTATCTCTTGGTTGCTGTTTCTTCGGAAGTCAATAGATGAAAAAAGCAGTGTTAAACGAAAAACGATATGAGAATACATAAATATGCAAAGCAGCAAAATTTACCACTCTTCGGTTAGCAAGAATCATTCTAATGCTTTCGATAACGTGATCTTCATGAGGCTCGAACATCATGCTAAGAAACTTCATCCCGGGGGGGCTTTCCCTTCCAAGTCTTAGAGATTCCGAGACACATATTTTCAGGACCTTCTCTAATTATTAATGAGAGTTAAACAACGCATTAGAGTATATTGTGCGATCATGAATGTAGAGAATCTAATGTATTTCTTAACTACCTCTCGCATTCATTTGGATTTCCCAATATGATATCTTGGAGTATTTGATATCAATCACCTCGTTCTCCACAGCTTCATCTCCCTGCAAATAGCAATATTTGATATTTGGCTAATACCATGACATTGATAATCGTCGGGAAAACACTCACCTCTGCAGACTTGATTGTCGTGGAAATAGTGTTTTTGTTGAAATCCACAAAAAAACAATCTTGACCATCGGGATAGTGTAACTTATTTTGGTTATAAGACATACGCGATACCTTCAATGTTTTTGGACTTTTTGTTGCGAAAAATTGGTCAGTCGTTTGCAAAAAAAAAACAACTTTGAATAATCATATACATGCATACTTCTTGGTCATGCCATCATTAATCTCGTTGATCAAGTTCAGGAAGCGCCGCGTATCCTAAAAAGCCAAAAGAATAAAGAAAGATTTCATATTAGTAATCCAAAAACTCAATAAATAAACAAAGAATGATGGCATTAATGAATTATAACCTACTCCGAAAAACTCGTTAGCGGTGATGCGAAAGAATTTAGGAATCATATCTCGGTGAGCAAAGAATGCCTTGTTTGCAAAATCTTCACGCTCCTTTTGCATCCTAGGACATAATCGGAAAAGAATCTCTAAATATCGAAGCTGCAGTTCATAGTCTAAATGAAAAGAGCCAGTTAATGGTAAGCGTGATGACGAGCGTTCATGATGTAGAAGAATACCTGACGCAGACACAATAGAAGAAACAAGTTCTGATCTATTTTGGCATTAAGGAATCAAAATTTTTTTCTTTTGAATTTGTTAATCAGAAGAATATATTATGATTATGGGGGGATACGTATTGAAAAATGGGTTTTGGCACAATGACTTTTTGTTCTCTTTGCACCCCGTCAACAGTGCGTTTACAACATCTGCCGTCTGAAAGAAGGATATGTTAATGATACACAATGTGTGGAACACGTTAGGGCAATTGACCAGACATACAGTTCTCCTGACGTCAATTGGAAGGGTTGACTTCATCAGAACTTGTGCAAGGGAATTCAGACAAAGTTGCCCAAATATTTCTCGATCTTTAGGGTAAATGGCAAAATAAATTAGATCACGGAAAAAAAAAAAAATAAATAAACGATTTCTAAAAATCTGCTTTCCTGAATCATCATCTTGTATGATTTGCTTTATAAAGGAGAGTCAATTAATTGATCGTTGTTTCGACAGGAATGAAGAGAGGACGAGCATAATGTAATGAAAAATTTTCTTACTTCGATTAATAAAAACGCGTCAAGTACGATTTTCTCCCAAATATTTTCTTCACGACAGTTGCCACTCTCAATAATAGAAACGACCATATGATTCAATATTTCGACCACTTTCCTAGTAACATCCTTACTATCTCGGAATTCCTTATATAGCTTATCCAATGAAACAACGGCACACTGATAAACAGTATCGCTAATATTTAATTTCTGAGCCTACACGCAGACAATAAAGTTGAATTAATTTTTCGCAACTTGACGTGTTTCCCTTTTATTTATTCACCTTGTTTTTTAATATGCTTGACACAGTCATGAGTGTTCTTTGCAAACTAGATAGATTTAGGGAAAAAATCGGGTAACGTTGAGAATGATAAATATAATTAATAAGGAGCTGTCAACACGAACTCTTTAACGATGGTGGAGTTCCCTCGTTTAGGTGGTCTTCCACGCCTTTTTCTTTCACTTTCGGCCAACTTTGAACCAATAAATTTGTCGAGATCGTCGAAAGCAGCCTTCAAGCTATACAAAGATTTTGACATTTTAAGTGCCTGGTGATTAATGAACTTTCGTTTATTTGGATTTTTTTTTTTTTTTTTTTTTTAAAAAAAAAAAAAAAAAGGAGAAAAGAAAATTCCGCGAATAATGCCAAGAAACTTTTTTTCGGGCAACACCGCTTAAATAGTCTTTAAACATAATGATCACTTTTTATGACGTATATTTAATTGATTTTAAAGCCCGGTCGGAATACTTTGAAATGTAACAAAAAGCGAATATGATGCAAAACACAATAATTTTCGCTGGATTCTATTGTGCATGCAAGTTTATTACATTGAGCGTAGATTCTTCCTTTTATTCACTACAAATTTATTTCAAGGATATGGAGGCTGTCGCTCCACAATACGTTTGACTCGTTTTGCATATCAAACGAGGTGTGAAAATGATCCAGCTGAGATTCGATTAGTGCACAATATCGCTGGATCATGTTTCACACATAAAGTATAAAAAGTCAAGCGCTAGGGTTTAAGTTAAGGTTTTTTTTTTTTTTTTTTTTTGCACAATGATAATTTTAATGATTTATGAAGTATACATCGTTACGGAATGACAACTGTTACATACTAAAATATACAGTACGTGTTGTTAGTTAATCCAACATACATACAACGAATTCATAATCACGTGCTAGATACATAAATAATATTACGTAAGACGCAAATGACACGTAAACTTTCTTTTTTGCCTACCATGAGTGCGTCCAATAGCCGAAAGAAGCAAAATGAAAACGATAAACAATCACTAAGAGATAAAATAAACCAGACAGTTCGCGATATCTGCAATCAAGAAGCCAAAATATTAAATGTAACACCCACTTCGAATTTTATTTCGTCGCTCGCGGATTTGGTGTACGAACATGTCGAAACTACTGGGTCTCTGCTAGAAGATTTTGCACATCATGCCAAACGAAATACCATCGCGATGGAAGATGTCAAACTTCTCGCACGGCGAAATGAAGATCTCGAAACGCTTATCAATGACTTTGCTGAGAATTTGGAGAAACAGAACGTAAAATCACGCGCCAAATCTTCAAGGTCTGTCAAAGCTAAGGGAAATTCAGATCGACAACAGTCTTGCGGCGAGAGTACAGAGGATGTTGGTGACAACGGTGATGATGATGATGATGATGATGATGATGAATAGGAGATTAGCTAGCCGACGTTTATATTATTTTAACTTCCTTCCCTTCTCAGAGAATGTAAAAAAAAAATGCGTGAAATACAGTACATAGTTTATTTTATCGTGATCATTAATTTAATAATATATCGGTCCGTTGATGGATATCTTCTTCATTCTAAACTATCAACGTTGCACTTCAAAGGGGCATTGAGATTGATTACATATGCCTTCATTCAAGTCCATCTATGTGTGACATCTGTGTGTAAGAAGTATGCTTCTTGAAAATTTACAATATATCAAGATTTATAACACAATGCAATGCAATATACTGTATATGGTTTTGATAAAACATTATATCAACTCACTTAAATAGTTTATTTAAACAGCTTATAATGAGTAATTAGTCTTCTTGAAAGCTTATATACAATATAAAATAAATACAACCTTTTCTATATCTTTTATGGGTATTGTCCTTACTGTGAGCAATATCATGCAAGTCGACGTGTTCAATCTTTTTCTGTTTAATAACAGATCAATATGATGAGCCAAGAATATTCAAGTTCAGTTATAATAAGTATGATCAACTTTCGTGATAGGATTAGGGTTTCTACATAATTTAACCAAGTGTTTTGTATCGTGCCGAATAAACCATTTCATGGATTTGCCTCCTCCACTTCCCAAACATTTTCCTCATCGTCAAAAGTGTAAACCTAAGATGTAATGCGAAACCGATGAATAAGTAATCATTTTGCAAAAAATATCTGTCACCTACAACTACACAACACTTACTATCCTTTTCGACGGGGATGATTCGTATTCAAATCTTATAGCTTCGTCCACTTTGAATGCCAGGATACAAAAATTCTCAAACGCCAGATCATGCAAAACTTTATCAGGGGAATTGGAATTTCCGGAATCCAACATCGAATTCAACTTCAAACATTTGAACGAATCCTTATCGCACTTTGGAATTTCTCCTGGCGGTGGCCAACTGAAAATTGCTCTATTATCTGGTGAAAGTGAATTCCAATATTGGCGTCGGAGAGACTCCCAGTATTCCCGCGGGGAGATTGTATTTGATTCATCATGAATGATCTTTGGAGCCGGAAATCTAGTTATCTTATTTGACGATGATGTGATATAAAATCGCCCCGAGAAATCATAGATTTCTTTCGTTGTTGGCATTTGCCTGTGGCATTATTTTTCAAAGCGAAAGAGTTATTACGCGGTTTTAAGGATGGTACGATAGTAATATGCCAAGTTAATGAAGGACGTTTATCTGCGCATCATCGTGTCTACCCTACCAGCTTAATTGAGCATTGGGATTTGATTTAATGTCACCGTGCAAGTTATGATCATTAAAAGCCATCGAGAATATAAAGTATCTTGAATCGTCTTTCAGAAAGTCCAAAAATCTTATGTTATGCAATGATGGTTGACCATTTCTACGTAGGTTTGTCATTTGAACGAAAACTTTATTTTTATGACAGGATAAAGATGGATTTTGATTGCAAACATGATTGTTAGCATGTTATCACCGCATCACAGAAACACCATTTAAACGGATGACCGAAAAATGATACCACTCCTTTAAAAAAAAAACAAATAAAAAATGACGAAATGCTTAAACATACCAACACTTCTATTATTCTTCTTGTGACTTTGCTGCAAAAAACGTGCCCACGGCGGAGGATAATTGGTTTCCATTTTGTAGAAGATTAATAATGTACGTACATACGTAAATGCTGGTGGTTTTGCCGTTTTTATCGTACCGATCATCATCACATGTATACATTACGTATCAGATTAATTTGCTTATGTGACACTCATTAAAAGACTCTTCCTATAGATTTGAAGATGTATCATCCAAAAAATCCATATCTGCACCTATACCCTCCACCACCGCATCCACCGCCGCCCAAAGATCTCTCATCTTCACCGGATCCCCGTCGATCCCTACAGTTTCGTGAATTTCATAAGAAACATTTTGTCAACAATAGGGAATTTTTTCAATTTGCGTTGAATCCAAAACCGTTCAACTCTCAAAGGACAGATTGTGCAGGGGCTTTTGATTGGAACCAAAATGGATATGGATGGAATGAATACGAGGGGTATTATGGCGAGGAGGGGAATGAAGAATGGATAGGGGAAGAGGGAGAGTATGACGAATGGGACGGCGAAGTATGGAAGGAAGAAGGAGAAAATGAAGAAGAGGGAAAAGTGGAATTTGTACTGAGCGATGAAATGATTGCTATGTTTCGATTTTCCGAGTTGAGAAGATTAAAACGTAATCATAACAAAATTGGACCGTGTTCTGCTTCATGTGGTGGATTGACTGATCATAATAATCCCGTTATTCGTGATTAAAAGAAAAATCTTCTCTAGAAAAGAAATCTTCATCCGGAAACCGTTCGTCTACATCTCCGTCGTACGCAACCTGCGAACCCGATCCATCAATATTATCATCAAGCTTGTCCGCTACCGAAGCCCAAGAACTCTATGGAGATTCATATCCGACCATTAAAACATTGGAGGCAGCATTAAATGATTCTTTTGTGAGGAGTTGTGATACGGGTGGAGAAGAATCGGTAGTATATTGGCCAGTGTTGCCTATGAGATTCGTATGATCGAGCGAACAGGATTTATCCCTCAACTTGCAAATTTCCATGTTGATTCAAGAACACACATGCATCACAATGTATTACATGTAAATATGTAAGGGTAAACTCGAAATAATAAAAGTTAGTTGGTCCTAAGCGCAAAACAAATTAATAGATTGAATTGTTTGTTGATACCTTTTTTTTCTAAAAGCATACTTTGTTAACTGAATAAACATTAAATTATATAACTGCCTATTCAAAAATATCATTTCATTTTTTTTTTTCTTTGATTTTTCGTTTTAAGTTTGCCGTTTAATTGTTGATGGAATGACAAAATGTACCTCATAGTGAATATGAAATCATTTTTTTATTACTTATTACTAATTATTACAGTATATTATATATATATTGTATATATACTGTATATATTTATAACTAATCAAAAAGTATGTTGATTTAAAATTTTTGAAAAGAAAATTTAAATTATGTTGGTATTTAAATTATAAATTTTACAGTATATATTACAAAGTTTATTATTGAAAGAAAAATTATTTTCTTTTATAATTGTTTATTTGATTTATAATAAAACAATTTAAAAAACTTTTTATTATTATTTTCTTTTTTCAAAAAAAAAAAAAAATCAAAATTTTTTTATATTATTAAAATTGAATTGATTTTTTTAATATAAAGTATATTATAAAATATTATAAAAGAAATAATTTTATTAATTTATTTTATAATATACAATAAGTATTTAGGAATTAACTTATTTAAAAAATAAATTATTTTTTGTCAATATATTTTTATGGCATATAGTAATATTTATAGATTATTTATTAAAAGTTTTATATTTTTAAATATAATAAAATATTTTTTTTATCCTATATATATTTTTCAAATATATTTAATTTAATAAAGAATTATCTAAATTAAATAAAACTTAAGATATAAATACTTAAATACCCAAAAATTAATTTTACTTAAGACTATTTTATAACTTTTGTTATTATGATTATTTTATACATTTTTTTTAATTAAAAAATTTTATATTATACACAAATTTTGCAAACTAATATATATAAATTTAATTTTTTAAATATAGTTTTATATATAATTTGTTTTAAAATCACATATAACTTATGATATTTATATAACTTAATATATAAAATTTAAAAAAAATCAAAAACAATATTATTAAATAAATATAGATTATTTTAATTAAAAATTCTTTTATAAAACTAAAATATTTATATTAATATTTTTTATATTTTTTAAATAAATAAACTCTAAACTATAATAAAAATTTTAATTTTTTATAAAATTTAGACAATTTTTTTGTCCCTTACTGTATATACATATATAAGTTTTTTGATTAACTTAAATATTGGTTTTAAATAAAATAAAATTTGAATTTTTAATAGTAATAAAAATATTAAGAAAAAAATTTTTAATTAAAAAATATATTTTTTTTGTAATAAAACTAATAAATTGAAAAAATTAATAAAATTAATGATACAAAGATAAATTTATTCTTTTAAATCTTTATTAATTTTCAAATTTTTTTTTAAATTTTTATTAAAAATTTTTCATTTTTTCTTAATTACTTTGATTTATTATAATTTAATTTATTTAAAATTTTTTTAATATCTATTTAATTTAATCTAAATGTTTAGTTATATTTGAATTATTAAAATTTTATTATTTAAAAATTGAATAATATAATAAAATAATAAAAATTTTTTTTTAATTTACAATTATATATTATATATATCTTTATTAAAATATTAAAACCATTTACAATTTTATATAAACCATTTATATAATAATTAACTTGTTTTTTTTTTTTTTTTTTTTAAACCCTCTGTCAGGCTAGTTATATGTGCTTTATTAAACAATTGTAAGCTGTACATATA